CATCATGTAAACGCACCCTAAATCTGTTTTTTTCCGCGTGGTTATCGTCAAACAAGGTTAACATATCAATTTTTTGAAGCTGTGCCATAAACAAAACGCAAACAACCATTGGCAAATCATTCATAAACTCATACTTCTCCTTTTAGAATCACTATAGACTTATTCCGAGGACTAAATCTTGGTGTGTCGTTGAAGCGAGACAAGACAAGCAACTGTTGTTTCCTCATGTTTTCATACACAACAATGCACAATACAGCAGTAGTGCCTGAAATTGAAGGAAGACCCTGTATCTGACTTCTATTTCTTTTTGTTTTTGAGAGAACCTTTTGCACCGTGCAGCGAGGTGTAAAAAGCAGATACTTGTACACAAACCTCAGACATGGTAGTGGATGCAGACTATGAAGTGTCAGCCGTTTTTTTCAATGTAGGCCAGTCGCTGAATGAGAACCGTAAAGATTATCCCGGACATTTATTTCTCTTCGTGGTGGAACGTTAGAGTGAAAGATTTGGAATTTTGTTACTTAAGTAAAAGTACAGATACTAGAGCAAAGAAGTATCACATGAAAACATCTTCTTAGAGGTGCATTATGTTTTTGTTTTTTGTTTTTTTTTTCTGGTGGAGGGTCCGTCAAATGCTTTTTTACTTTTCTATCTTCATGGAGACCAAACCAAAACAAGTTACAGGTCAGATCAGTGGAGAGGCGACCCGCTCACCGTCAGAATACATGTTTTTCGAGGTATTTTTGAGTCATAAAACCACCTGTAATTGAATAAATGTAAAGTAGAGCTGTTTAATGTTTAAAATATGGTGGAACTTTCCAGCAAGAGCTATGGTGTATCCATAGAAACAAGCAGGTGACGGACCCCCAACCAAGAAGTTACATAGTGTGGCTTTAAGTTAAAAAAAAATCTACTCAAAGTGCATTGTGTAACTTTTCTGGTGGAGGGTCTGTCCAGTGCTTTATGTTCTTGCTTTGTCTGGAATATTTCACATTAAACCTTTCTATCTTCATGGAGACCAAACTAGACCAAGTTACAGGTCAGCTCTGTGGAAAGGCGACCCGCTCACAGTCAGAATACATGTTTTTCGAGGTATTTTTAAGCCGTAAAACCTCCTGTAATTGAATAAATGTAAGGTAAAGCTGTTGAATGTCACACTGTGGAACATTTCAGGCAGAGTAACGACATATCCATAGAAACAAGCAAGTGACAGACCCCCAACCAAGAAGTTACATAGTGCACCTTTAAGTCAAAGTTTTAAAGTTTTGATACAGAAATGTGCAGAATTTTCTTCACCCGAAACAACTGAATTGATGGTTCTTTTATTTTTGTTCGCTCACACTGCAAATGTGTTAAAAATCACCCCACAGCCTTTCCAAACTATAATAAAAAATACTTTTGCCCTTCAGTCCAGTTTAAAATTGTAGTGGAGTAGCAAGAACAGATACCTGCTCTCAAATGTAGTGAAGTAAATGTAAAATCTACTTAAAGGGACAGTTCGGAATTTTGGATAAAACAGTCTTACCAACTCCACAAAGCACCCGAAGCGAATCTATTATTACACTAGACTGTCCATGTGAATGTTAATTAATTAATTAATCATTGCATTTGTATAGCACCTTTCAAGATACTCAAAGCGCTTTACAGTTCATTGTTCATTCACTCCAAACTTAGTGGTGGTAGCTGCAGACTGACAGAAGCGAGGCTCCCAATCTGCGCCATCGGCCTCTCTGATCACCACCATCACTCACACACACACCACTTTCATACTAGGCAATGTAGGTGAAGTGTCTTGCCTAAGGATACAAAGATAGTTTTTGCCACTGGACCCCCACTGTGGCACCTGGAGTTCCCAGCGGTCTCCCATCCAAGTCCTAACTGGGCGCGGCCTTGCTGAGCTTCTGAGATCTGACGGGATCAGTCTTTGACATGCCGGCCACGTCTGCGTCTATGTCTGTGTTGATAGAATAATTTTAGAAGTAATACCAACCTTCCTTTTGAGAGATTTATGTCTGAGCAGCAGCAGCGAGTTGTACTTCCTGATAGAAACCTCAGCAGCGGCGGACTGATATATGAGAAAATAGTCCCTCAACTTGCGACGATTCATGCGATGCGAAGTTAGTTTTATTTCAAACATTATTCTATCAGCACAGACATTTACATGGACAGTCTGGTGTAATAATAGATTTTGTTTTGTGTGTTTTGTGGAGTGGGTAAGACTGTTTTTAGTGGCAGGCTAACTATGGCCATTGACATGCACTAGCCTAGCACCAGCGACCTCTGCAAATACAAGGACTGGATGGAATATTTAAAAAAATGTCTCCACACGTCTCCAACGCTCTGGTTCACTAGGAAATCAGGCCCTATGTCCAAAATTCTGAACTGTCCCTTTGGGTATAGTACATATACCTCAGATTTATACTATGATGCACTATGTAACTTTTTGCTTAGGGGTCCGTCACCTGCTTGTTTCTATGGAAATACCATTGCTCTGCCTGGAATGTCCCACAGTATGACTTTAAACAGCTTTACCTTACGTTTACTCAATTACTGGTGGTTTTACAGCTCACAAACACCTAGAAAAACATATATTCTGACTGTGAGCGGGGTCGCCTCTCCACAGATCTGACTTGTAACGTGGTCTGGTTCGGTCTCCATGAAGACAGAAAGGTTTAATGCCATACTGTGAAACATTCCAGACAAAAAAATAACATATCTATAGTAAAAAGGATTTGACGGACCCTCCAGACCCACCAGAAAAGTTACGCAACACACTTTTGAGTACAGTACTTTTCTACTTTTACTTTAAGCTCCTAATAGTTTCGCTTTTTCCAAATGCAAAAACAAAACACAAGCGTTTGTTCTAAGTGCTGAACAGTGTGTATATATATATTCCACATTCTCCCTTCCGGCCACAGTATCTCATTCGTCTTGGAGAATGGCTGGAGATGACAGTCGCGAGTGCTGTAGTCGAACTGGCCTCATAAATTTATACAAGCAGTGTTATTTTTTTTTTTTTTACACTTTAAATGTCAACAAAGCTTTCACCGCTCCCCTCCTCGATATAGAAGACCTTTAGAATCTTTTCGCGAAATGTTCTTGAAAACGCTCCAAATCTTAAACCAATAAAGTACACATCGACCCACATTGCGCGGGCCCAACCTGAGGCGGCTGTCTGTTTCGTAGCTATTTCTGGTTAGTCGATTCGTCACGGCTCCGGCGCGATCTGTCTCATGCGCAGAGAAGTGTTTTGCGGGTCTTGTGAAGGGATGTAATTTATTCGCAAATGAATGCAGCCCGCCCACTAGCAAACGTATAATGCATTAGTTGGAATCAGAGGCGGTAATTTGCGATGAGAAAAGCAGATGTGCGGTTCTGAGTGGGTTGGAGTCACAAATGGTTACGTAATGATTAAGTTTTACAAACGCTGGGAAGTTTGCATGAAGTGTCTTTATGTGGTAAAAATAAATACAATAAATAAATAAATAAATAAATAAATACAAATCTACCATGAATTATCCAACTTATTATCAAGACTTTAAGCTTCATTCTGACATAACTGCTTGTCTCCATGGAGATGTTATTGCTTTGCCTAAATCAGGGAGGTCAAACTCAAATTCACAGAGGCCACAGTTAAAAACTAGGACCAAGTCGTGGGCCAAACTAAATATTTATTGAAAAATTTCAACAACATCTGCATGTTTTCTCTTCTTTCAAGATATGTAATGTTAAACCTTTTCTTATAAAAATAAATGTTTAATAATAGGTTTGCTTAAAAATTTGATTCAGAAAAAGCAAAATATAAAATTATCACAACATTTTAAATAAATAATGTCTCTATAGTCTATCTGTAGCCGGCGGGACAGCTCTAATACATATTTTGATATGATGTCGCGGGCCAAATTTGGCCCCTGGGCCTGAGTCTGACATGTCTGGCCTAAATGTTCCATAGTATTGCTATTGCTATCTAGCGTTTAATTCATGACTAGTGTTTTTATTGCTCAAAACTAGTGAGACTGCTTGTCTCCATGGAGATAAGTCTAACACACTACGACAAAATATTCAATCACAACCTGTGTGGCCAGTGCCCTAACCTTCATACAGATGACACAAAACTTTTCTTCTTATTTTCAGTTTATGGACAGGCCTCGTGTGAAAGCTCAGAACCTCCCTGAGCTGCAGAGGCTGCACTAGCACTGACTCATGTTTGTCTGCAGGTGCTGGGGTTTAGGTAGTGACCATTCAGATCAGAGAGCGGCATTTTAGGTTTGAACCTCAGTTTCAGTTTTGAAACTGGCAACTCAAATGACAGACTCATGTGAGGCTCGTTCTGCTTTCTGATTGGATAACTAAATCATTCAGACTGACAAAGAAGATTTATATTAGCCAGACTGGCACCACCTAATGCCTCTGCTCAATTTAATTTCTCTCCAGCGACTAGGTCAGGAGTCAGAATACACTAGACAGTTTGCAAAAACCCCGGAAGTTGTAGACTGCACACCAGCCAATCAGTGAAGAGCTGTGAAGCCATGACAACAAACTCAGGTGCCTGTCTGGGTCCCTTTTCTGGTACAGCACAACAGTAAACAAAGTGTCGAGATGGATGTAGATGATATATCCACGAATACAAACTTAGCATTTTTATTGCACCTTTAATTCACAAGTTCAACTCACAAAAACGACAACAATCTTTGACAGACATGTTCACTCTCTGCTTTTTTTGCTGTTGTGCTGGCAATTATTTGGACACTACTGAGCGTTCTGCCACATTACATACGTCATTAACTATAACTGTTAACTAGTATAAATCCTAGTGTTTCAAGCCAGTATCATCAAATTGAAAATGGCTGAAACATCTTGATTGCACAACAGTCCAGGTGACCACTGCTGACACTTTTTCCACAATGTCACCTTAATTCCAAACCTTCTGTATTCTTTCCACCAACGTCCTTTTGCTGATCTCTTATCCCCTCCCTAATGCTGCTCTCGTTCTTCCGCAGAGGCCACCGTGCTGAGCTACGACGGCAGCATGTACCTGAAGATCATCGTGCCGGTCACCATGCACACGGAGGCGGAGGACGTGGCGCTGCGCTTCATGTCCCAGAGGGCGTACGGGCTCCTCATGGCCACCACGTCCAAGGAGTCGGCGGACACGCTGAGGCTGGAGCTGGACGGGGGCAGGGTCAAGCTCACGGTCAACCTGGGTAGGACCACGATGCAGTCTGAGCTCTGGCTACGTGATGTTCTGAGATGTGACGCAAAACCTGTTCGCTCATCCGCTCATCCTGTCTGATCTGTTTTCTCTCTCTCGATTCGGCTGGTTCAGTTGGAAGGCGTGGTCGGTTTGTTGATGGATTTATGGTTTCAGTTTGGTATCTTTCTCAAATTTTCAGAGACTAATTTAAGGATCTTTGTGATGACTACACTATTTACAGCTTTAATTACACATAATTTATTAAAAAATATATTTTTATAAGACTTAGACTTAAACTTAGACTAAATTTATTGATCCACAAAGTAAATTATTTGGACACAGTTGCTCACACATCACAATAAAATGTAATATAATAACAAAGAGCAAAAATATAGATGGTAAAATATAATAGTAAGGGTAAAAAAGAATGATTCAGGTTTGTAATTACTTAATTGAAGTTTAGTATTAGTTAGGGTATTAAAAAGTAGTTGCTATAAGGGTAGTTAAGTGAAATTATTACATACTCCTACATTTTCTTGACATAAATACTTTGTTCTAACAACTAGAGTGGTAGTTTCAGTGAAGTTTGTGCCTTACTTTAGACAGATAAACAACAGGGATTTGCAAGTTTCCTGTCAAAACTGAATAATCTTCTTGGACGAGTTGTGAAAAAATCTTTGTCCAGTTGGTAAAATTAAAATTTCAGAATATTCAAATTGATGCAGTGAATGAAAAAGAGTCGTTTTAACCCCCAAACCAAAATTGGTTTAGTAAATAGTTTCTGTTCACAAATATCACGAATATTCTGATACGTAGACAAATATGTTAGATGAGGTGAAAATAAGACCCAAATTATAGACTTAGACAAACTTTATTGATCCACAAGGGAAATTATTTGGACACAGTAGCTCACACATCACAATATAATAACAAAGAGTAAAAATATAAATAGTAAAATAAATTCTAAATACTCAGGAAAAAATAAATAAATTAATAATAATAATAATAATAATAATAATACAAGTAAAAATTAAATAGAAAGGTAAGTAATAAAATATAAAAATCTAAATTATAATATGCTTTAGGGACAATGTTGGAAGATGAGTTGTTTAATCTGATTTTGAAATTTAAATGCCGTTGAATTTCTCAAGTGGAATCTTTTTACTTCATCTTTGTTGTGAAAATTACCCGGCAAATTTTACACAGAATTTTTAGAGCTTGAAAATACACTGTATGTACTGAAAATGTCAAAGATTATGAGCATTTTTAAACATTGAAGGTGTATACTCAATTGAAAAAAAAAAAATAAAATAATAATAATAAAGTAAAAATAATTCTAACGTGTTTGTTAGTTTAAAAATTCAAAGTGAGAAATTCAATAGCTTTTAAAATTCACAATCTGATGAGACAAATTATCTTCCATCCTAATGTAATAACTATTTCCAGACCTGAATTTCAGACACTGCTCATTTAATTTTGTTTGTAAAGTGTAGATTTTGCCAAACCCTGTTATTATTATTTGTTTTTTTAAAGGCTTAAATTTGTGTTAAATCCACAATTTAGCTGTATTTGTTATATATGCAAGGTTCTAGCTCTTATTTCATTTCAAAAACTCAACACTCAAAGTACCATTTCCTCAACAAATTGACCAATGACCTTCTGTAAATTCTTTCACTTAAACCAATTCTTTCTCTTTTCTCTTCCACGTCTGTGCTGTACCATCGTATCCCTGACCCATCCCAAAAAAAAGCTCCATCGAAAAACTACCAGGCCAGTTTTCCGAGCCTTGCCCCACAAACCTGTCTCCGCGTCGGGCTTCTCTCTCCTCACTCCCCCCCACGTGTCGGAATCAGCCGCGAGGTCACCGTAATCCATTCTGGGAATTCCGATTACGGTCGAGTGTTTGCGCAAGGACGGACAAATGAAATCCCTCCGAAGATGGATCATTTTCTCGCGATAACCGTCGGAGGAATCTTTGAGTTCATTAACTTTTCATGACTGATAAATGGCGATGACTTTTCTGCCTGCGCCGGATCCTCCAGTTTGTGGAACCTTGAAGGAAGCGCGCGGTGGAGTGAGGAGGAGTGAGAAGATGGATGCGCGATACGGATTTTGTTTTTAGACCACCGGAGACAGGGGGGATTTACCTACGCTGCTGACATTCCAGGAACATGATTCGTGACCGTTGTTGCGAAGGACTGGTCGCCTTATTATGATGTCATCGGGCTGTGACACACTTGGGTATCCTGTTTATTGATTTTTTTGCAATGCGTTTGAAATTGGTTTGATTCCAGGGAGGAAAAAATAGATAGATATTTTACTGATCCTGAAAGAAATTCAAAGTTTGGCTGCACCAACACAGAAACAAATGGGAATGGAAATGTTAAATGAAGTAACACTGGACCTAAGTTCCTGTTTAACCCCGAAATCAAGAGTTATATTAACATTTTGAGAGTAAACGGATAACACTTTGTAGAGTTATCCTGATTTAGCAAAACAACACACAGAGTTGTTTTATTTTTACACTTTATTTTAGTTAATTTAAGATGAAATTCTGTACAAAACTGGTTCAAACTGGTCTTCTCCAATGAGAGTTTGAAGTGGAGGGTGGGAGTTGCTAAATTAACACTAGGGGAAGTTAAATTAACACTAAAAGAAGTTGAATTAACACTAGAGTAAATTGTATTAACACTAGGGGAAGTTGAATTAATAATAAGGGAAGTTGAATTAACACTAAGAGAAGTTGAATTAACACTAGAAGAATTTGAATTAACACTAGAGGAAGTTGAATTAACACTAGAGGAAGTTGAATTAACACTAGAAGAAGTTGAATTAACACTAGAAGAAGTTGAATTAACACTAGAGGAAGTTGAATTAACACTAGAGAAGTTGAATTAACACTAGAAGAAGTTGAATTAACACTAGAGGAAGTTGAATTAACACTAGAAGTTGAATTAACACTTGAATTAACACTAAGGGAAGTTGAATTAACTCTAGGAAGTTGAATTAACACTAGGAAGTTGAATTAACAAAGAATTGAATTAACACTAGAGGGAAGTTGAATTAACACTAGGGGAAGTTGAATTAACACTAAAGAAGTTGAATTAACACTAGGAGGAAGTTGAATTAACACTAGAGGAAGTTGAATTAACACTAGAGTAAGTTGAATTAACACTAGGAAGTTGAATTAATAATAAGGGAAGTTGAATTAACACTAAGAGAAGTTGAATTAACACTGAATTTGAATTAACACTAGAGGAAGTTGAATTAACACTAGAGGAAGTTGAATTAACACTAGAAGAAGTTGAATTAACACTGAAGTTGAATTAACACTAGAGGAAGTTGAATTAACACTGAAGTGAATTAACACTAGGGGAAGTTGAATTAACACAGAAGTTGAAATTAACACTAAGGGAATTGAATTAAACTGAATTAACACTGAGGGAAGTTGAATTAACACTAGAGAAGTTGAATTAACACTGAAGTTGAATTAACACTAGAGGAATTTGAATTAACACGAAGAATTAACAGAAGGAATTAAAGAAGTTGAATTAACACTAGAGGAAGTTGAATTGAATTTGAATTAACACTAGAAGTTGAATTAACACTAAAGAAGTTGAGATTAACACTAAGAATTAACACTGAATTAACACTGAGGAAGTTGAATTAACACTAGAAGAATTAACACTGAAGTTGAATTAACACTAAGTTGATTAACACTTTGAATTAACACTAGAAGTTGAATTAACACTAAGGAAGTTGAATTAACACTAGAGAAGTTAATTAACACTAGGGAAGTTGAATTAACACTAGAGGAAGTTGAATTAACACTAGGGGAAGTTGAATTAACACTAAGGGAAGTTGAATTAACACTAGGAAGTTGAATTACACTAGGAAGTTGAATTAACACTAGAGGAAGTTGAATTAACACTAGAAGAATTAACACTTAGGAAGTTGAATTAACACTGAGGGAAGTTGAATTAACACTAGAGGAAGTTGAATTAACACTAGGGGAAGTTGAATTAACACTAGGGAAGTTGAATTAACACTAGAATTGAATTAACACTAGGGAAGTTGAATTAACACTAGAGGAAGTTGAATTAACACTGAGGAAGTTGAATTAACACTAGAGGAAGTTGAATTAACACTAGAGGAAGAATTAACACTAGGGGAGTTGAATTAACACTAAGGGAAGTTGAATTAACACTAGAGGAAGTTTAATTAACACTAAGGGAAGTTGAATTAACACTAGAAGAAATTGAATTAACACTAGAGGAAGTTGAATTAACACTAGAGAAGTTGAATTAACACTAGAAGAAGTTGAATTAACACTAGAAGAAGTTGAATTAACACTAGAAGAAGTTGAATTAACACTAGAAGAAATTGAATTAACACTAGAGGAAGTTGAATTAACACTAGAGGAAGTTGAATTAACACTAGAGAAGTTGAATTAACACTAGGGAAGTTGAATTAACACTAGGGGAAGTTGAATTAACACTAAGGAAAGTTGAATTAACACTAGAGGAAGTTGAATTAACACTAAGGGAAGTTGAATTAACACTAAAGGAAATAACCCCAACTCAAACCCCCATTTAACTTTCAAATTGTTAAAATAACACTTAATGAGTTAAAAACAACGCTGAAATATTTTACCCTGAAATTTTAACCATCCAGTTTTTTCTGTGTAATAATGTAGATAATGTATTTAAAGCATAGTACAGTATATAGATGGATAAGATTAATGCTGCACTGTGAAAGATTCCAAGTTGAATAGTTAAGTGCATCTACATGGAGAGCGCACGCCATCCTGGTCTCCAAGAAAAGTTACACAGTTCACCTTTAAAGCAGAAACATCTAAGTGTATAACTCAGTTTGTTTTAAATAAACTTGATTAATGCGTCTCTGTATTGAGACACATTTTGCTAAAATAATCTGCAACACTATATATATTTATATTTTCAGTACAGCCATGTAGAATATAAAATGTATTGATAAAAATAAGAAAAATAA